TGCGCTAGCACACTCGGGCCGGCCTGGGGTCGGGGGCGCCAGCCGGGAAGGGGCTTGGCCCACGTGCAGGGTCACCCACACCCGGCCTTCGGGCCAGTGGGGGAGGCCGGGGTATAATGGAGGACAGGCCGCCGGGGCGAGGAAGGCCCGGGGTAACAGGTGCCTCACCTCGGCTGATAGGATTAACTCTAGGGCCGCAGAAAGAGGGAACCCAGCAGCAAAATCCCAGGAGAGGGAGAGAGAGAGGGAGCCTCTGGCGGCCAACGAAGGGCGAAAAGCACCGGCCCGAGGCGAGGCCGCCCCACCCCCTCGGCCGTGGGCGAGGGGCCTCTCTGGCCTGGGACAAGGCCTGCTCTTCCGGAGCCTGGCCCGTGTCGGTTCCGGAACTGGGTTTGGGCAACCGGTACTATGGCCCCTGGTTCATGGGCAGTTAACCCCATGACCCCCAAGGCATCCAAACTGGGCCACTGTCCTTGTCTGGAAGACCAAGACCTAGGGCCCCACTCAGTTTCTAAGACCTCTATCTGAGCCACTGTGCCTGGCCAGTATACTACCCATCTTGATCCTAAGGTTCTACTGCTAAAAGGAAAGGGGTGAGGAAGGCTTCTGACTTTCTTAGTTGGGAAGAGGCTTTCAGCCTACCAGCTCTGGCTTGAACCCTTTTATAAGTGCTAGTCCTTCCCTCTCCATCTCCCAAAATGTCAGAAGTATTATACCTGCTGGCAAAATATAAAATGCATCAAGACTGCCAATATGAACCTTTAAACCAATCTCAAGGTTCTGCCCCATAGGCTTTTTGTATCAAGAAGGTGAAAAACAGGACTCCTGTAGAAATATAAAATGAGCATAGGTTAAAAAGTTTAATTTGACTCGGTAACTAGGGAGGGAACCAGCAATATACTGCAACTCGTTCAAATGAAAATGTGAAGAACACATATCTACAGGCAATCAAGAAAGAGGCAAAACTGCCTAATCTACGAGGAGGTACACTGAAATGTAATGTTTAATATTGCAATAGCTCCTTATCTTCTGGGGATACATTCCAAAACCCCCAGTGGATGCCTGAAACCTGACAGAGTACTGAGCACTACATATACTGGGTTTTTTCCCCTATACATTCCTATGATAATGCTTGATTTAGAAATTAGGTGCATTACGAAAGACAATTATAACAATATACTGTAATAAAAAACTTAAAAGTTGTTTCTAGAAGTTTTCAGTAGATGTTCTCAGATCATGTTTGAATGCTGGTAAGGATAATTGAAACCAGGTTAATCAAAACAGCAGATAAGGGAGGGGTACCTTATCTGTTCTATAGGGTGGTAACCAATGGTTACCTCTAAGTCAAAATTTGCATTTTTATAGATAAGAATCATTTACATCACTGTGAGTTTCTTAGGTTGACTAAGACTTGAAATCGCCTAGTAAGAGAGAGAAATTGGAACCAGTAAACTCCTAACTCCTGGAGCTGACATCCATCTGAAAGCACATGTACCTACAGTGATGTCCCCATTTCAAGGTCTTTTTCAGGTTTTTTCCAACAGATCATTACATTTTACAGATGGGAAAACTAAGGGTTAGGATTTGTAACTTATCCAAGGCTGTCTTAACTAAAAATGACTATTATTGGGTCTGAGCCCAGGCAAGTCTGTACACAGAATCTATATACTCTGGGAACAAAATCTTTCAATTTCAAAAGGACTTTCTAGCTACTCAATTCTATGGATCTTTTATTGTGAACAGTGAGAATTTTTTTTTCCTACTCTTTAAGCATCACCATATTCTCAGTCCTTTCCCAAGATATTGCCATTCTCTGTCTACAACATGTATGTCATGTCTATAATCATAAACAGATGTAACAGGCAACATGAGGGGGCTGTGGTTCCAATCTCCACTTTTGGAAAGAACATTTGTGCTGTCTGGGATAATCTAGTGGAAAAGTTCCTGTCATTTATTTGCAGTATGGAAACCAGGTTTTTTAGGAGAATAACCTAAATAAATGCAGAATCTAATCACTGAGTTCTGTCTGTAGAAGAGGGGGCAGAGCTGGCAATAAAATCAGTCTTACACCTCTTTGCAAAAGGATGATTCATACAGAGAAGCAGCCTAATGAATTTGGTTGGTTTGGGCTTATTTTTTGAAATGTGAAACTTCTGGAAAAATTTATACTGAAAAATTTATACTGAAGGAATGACAAGGTTTTTAAAACAATGACGATAACTTAAGTTTCTTTGATTGTCCGTGATAGGCCTTTCACTTCTAACACTTCCTAGAATGTTCTAAGGGCCTACAAGACCTGTGCTAAACCAATGTGTGTGAATATTTAACTAAATCAAATTTTAAAACTTAATTATTTAGCCTTGCTACCTACTTTTGAAGGGCTCTATAGCTATAGGAAGCTACTGGCTACCCTATTGGACACTGTAAATAAAACATTCCCATGACAGAAATTTCTACTAGACAGTGGTATTCTAGACATCATTTTCCTTTCTTTAAAATAGATAGCTATATTCACTTTAGAAATGTTAACTTGGTTCAGTAGACCACTAATATATTTGGGATTAGAGGACATCAATTTTACTTGCTGCAATTGGAAAAGGGTGAGAGCTGTGTTCCAGTGTGAAAGATAAACCTCCATATTGACATACAAACTATTCAAAATGAGTTCCAGATGGTGGGAGTCTACAATTTCATATATGATTTCTCAGTCTTTTACAAAGCATGTAGATTGGGGATAGGAAGGATAGTAGAATAACTCAGACATTATTACCCTGTGTACATATATGACCACATGACCGGTGGGCTTCTACATCATGTAGAAGAGAAATTACTCCATTAAAGTATGACGTATCACAGTATATTCTACTGTCATATATAACTAATTAGAACAAATAAAATTAAAATCATGTAGAATATTGTACACTATTTTCTTTCTCTTTGAAACCAATAAAATACATATTTGTAAAAATAAACCACAAGATTATAGGACAAACTGAAGGGATTTTCTTAATGTATTTTTTAAAGTTTTCATAATGGATATTCTGAGTAACCAAAGAGTTAAATTATTTATGTGTGTAAGTGAAACATTGGGTGCAGCTGTGAAAGTGAGCCTAACCACAGCCTGAATCAAGTTTTAAGCCTAGGGAAAGACTAAACTGGGACTGCCCATCACAATTACGTTTACAACAGGAATTCACCTGCTGGTTATATGAAGTTTATGGAGAAAGAGAAAAGAACAAACTTAAAGGTCTTTAGACTATTCTACATGGAGAAGGCAAAGTAATGGAAGAGCAATTCCTGTAGGTAATTTTACACATAATTTAGCATAAAAGGATGTGTTAGTCACCTGTCACTGCAACAAAATAACTGCCAAAATCAACTTAAATGAAGAAAGTTTTATTTGGGCTCACAGTTTCAGGGGATTCAGTCCATCGTCACTTGGCTCTTTGGTATCTGGGCTTGTGGTGAGGGAGATCATGGCAGGGAATGCATGGTGAATCAAAGCTGCTCACCTCCTGATGGTTGGGAAAGAAAGAGAGAGAATGTGAAGAAGAGAAAGAGGCTAGATACAAAATATAGCCCGAAGGCATGCCAAAGGCATGCCCTCAAAGACCCACCACCTCCCAATAGTCCATTAAATTATTAATCCAACATAGTCTGAGCCCTAGTGATCAAATCACCTTTTCAAGGCTCCACTTCTGAACACTGCTGCTTTGGGGACCACCTCTTTAAACATGAAATTTGGGGAGACATTTTAGGTCCAAATCATACCAAAGGATATTTTATTCATAACAGTGTCCTTACCAATACTACTATTAAAAAAGTGTTGATAGTGATGAGGCACCTTGTTTTGTTTTATTTTGTTTTTGGTACTATGATGGAACCCAGGGGTGCTTTACCATCAAGCTATATCTCTGATCTTTTTAATTTTTTATTTTGAGACAGGATCTCACTAAATTCATGAGGCTAGCCTCAAACTTGTGATCCTCCTCCCCAGTAGCTAGGATTATATGTGTGAGCCAACACACCCAGCTAGATAACTTACTTATGAAGAGTGTAGTTATAACTGGTTATTTCACATTGGTAGTGAAGTTATAACTGGTTATTTCACATTGCTTTGTTGCCTTTGATCTTGAAGTTTTCTTAAAGGTTCTCTTTTACAACAACCATCTCTATTTAAGCGTAAAAGTTTAGTTTACATCTTTTAAATCTTCAGTTATATCACACACATACTATTGTAAAATAGAATATATTTCTCCAAAAGTGATAGAGTCCATGGTTCATGTTCAGAATAAAATGTTAGCAATATCTAGGATCAGACTTATTCTGTGCTGTTAGCTATAAAATTAAGGTTAAAGGTATTATTTCTGCCCAAATAAATTGGTCATAATTCAGCATGGCTTTCTATCTACACTCATTGTTTGGTCAAGCCATTGAAAATTTAGCTATTATCTAATCCATATCCCATTCTTCAGCACATTCAGCATCTTGGTTTTTCAACTTAAAAGTAGGTCCATGGAAGTCTTGAGTGTTTGCTTTTATTTGCTATTAGAAATAAACTGTAGAACTTCTTGTGATTCCTTAGGGTCATTTTAAAGTTGTTATTATGTCTTAGCTCTGCAAATAAACCACAGTAGATTTACAGAGTGTTTAGACTATAGTGATGCCTCCTCTCCTTCTCCATTATTAGTTTATTTGGCTGCCCACACAAAACACAGATAAACAAGAGTTTTATTGGACTAGACAAGTATGATGTTCTCATTACTGTCACTGCTTCTAAGGTTGAAACAACAGCTGCTATAACTATTCTTTTTAGTTTTCAGTGTTGCGCAAGTTGCATCTTTAAATACAAGCTTAAGGTATTTAAATGCGGCTACAGGAGCTCATTTTACTTTCAGCAGATTAGCCTCTCTAACAGGGATTCTACCATTGGTTCTCTGCCAGCCCTCCACCTATAAGTTGCACCTGAACTCTGGCTTTCTTAAGATTGACATGTTGTCAATCCTACTTCAGAACAATTTGTTATTTTAAGACTGAAACAAATGAGAGAGGCACAGTGATCCTTCCGGGAAAGAACAGTTACTGATGTGTCAAATTGGGATTCAAACTGATGACATTTTTCTGCAACTCATATTCAGTAGTCTTTTACCTCTAGTGATGCTGAGCCTAGTTCTTAAGCCCTGTGCTAGAATCATTCTTCTTGGCTCAAAACTGGGAGAAACAGTTATCCAAAACACTCTTAGTTGTGAACACTGACAGAAAGGAATCAAAGAATAACCAGTATTTCTGTAATTTCTCTATTTCATAGCTTTAGCCTTGGTGACTTTACTATTAAATAAACACTTC